CTAGTAGACGTAGCTAAATACGCTAGCAGACGTAGCTATATATACACACGCTAGTAGACGTAGCTATATATACACACGCTAGTAGACGTAGCTAAATACGCTAGCAGACGTAGCTATATATACGCTAGTAGACGTAGCTAAATATACACGCTAACAGACGTAGCTAAATACGCTAGCAGACGTAGCTAAATACGCTAGTAGACGTAGCTAAATACGCTAGTAGACGTAGCTATATATATGCTAGTAGACGTAGCTATATATACACACGCTAGTAGACGTAGCTAAATACGCTAGTAGACGTAGCTATATATACACGCTAGTAGATGTAGCTAAATACGCTAGTAGACGTAGCTAAATACGCTAGTAGACGTAGCTATATATACACGCTAGTAGACGTAGCTAAATACGCTAGTAGACGTAGCTATATATACACGCTAGTAGACGTAGCTAAATACGCTAGTAGACGTAGCTAAATACGCTAGTAGACGTAGCTATATACACACGCTAGTAGACGTAGCTATATATACACACGCTAGTAGACGTAGCTATATATATACACGCTAGTAGACGTAGCTAAATACGCTAGCAGACCTACATGTTTAAATTAAATCCACGCTGCTCAGAGAAACTACATTAGCTCGTACGACTGTCAACAAGGAATAGGGCCGACAATGGAGGAGGGGGCGTGACAAAGACACCATCTTAGCACCAACATAACTGCTTTGTTCCACTTTGGAGTGAGCTGTTGGAGGACAAATCAGTTTTGTTGTGGGTTTCCTTGACTGATGAAGCCTTCTGGATCGAAGGCGAAACGTTTCAGCACAAAAAAAGAAACTGTCCAGATGACCTGACTGAAGAATGTTGGATTGTACACCTGGATTATTGAGCATGGACTTTGTTATTAGCTCGTACCGTTCCACAGAAACAAACGCCGGTTCTGGTCCGTGCCAGAAGTCACGTCTATAAAGGCAGCGTTGAGGCGAAGAATAAGGTGGATAGAGAATCAATGTTTACTTTTATTAATTTAAGGGCAGGAGGGATGATTTTTAAAACAGCTAGAGAAAAAAATCTATGTGCGAAATTAACTATTTTGTCAGTTAAGTAAAAATATGAAATAAAAATGAAAAAATAAATAAAAATGAAGTAAAAATATAAAAAGTAAGAACATTTTTACCACCATGTGGCAGTAAAGTCCAGAAAAAGTTCCAGACTGCTGGACCAGTTCAGGTTCTGGTAAAAACCTCCTGCGCCTCCCTATAAACATAAAAACGGTGTGCTCGGTTTCCTCCGCACCTTGTCCTGCAGGTCTTTCTCGGGGATCTCCACCGTGTCGTTCTGGGCTCCGTAGCGGCTCCTCTGGTAGGCCACCTGCTCGGCCACCAGCTGCTTGAGGATGAAGAGCAGCAGCTCGTTGTTGTCCCTGCGGAACGCCAGGTAACGGGCGAACGTCTGAAAAACAAGAGAGGAGTCAGGATTCAGCTGAGCAGACTTCAGAGGCCAACATAAACCGTTCCGAAGGTCCGACCTTCCTCATGCTCCTCATGACGCTGAACTTCTGCGTGTCGATGAAGCTCTCCAGCATCACCCTGATGGCCATGTTCACATCGTCTTCCTGGACGTAGTCCCTCAGGTGCATCTTGGCGTGGGCCTCGGCCATCCGGATCATGGACTCGATGTGTCGAACCGTGATGGGGATGCTGCCGGTGGCCTGAGGGAGGAACCAGACCCACATCAGCCATGCCTCCTTCAGGCGCAGCGGGATACGTCTGATTTCTGAGGACTCACCATGGACTCTTTACGCAGGTCGCTGTAGATCCGGGCCACTTTGTCCTGATCCATCTGGTTCAGTTTGGGGTGAATCTGCAAACATTTGATCCAAACGTTCAAACGTTCCTGCTTCAGAAGAACCTGCGCTGAGACACTGAACGTTCGGGAGCTCGTACCCGGTCTTTGCAGTAGAGGATGTACTTCCTCAGCAGCTCCTGTGGAATCGGCGGCACGTCGGACGAGTTGGGCAGAACCACGTCCTCCAAGGCCACGCCCCCTTCCTTGCTGCTAGGGTGATGTTTGATGTGGGAGCCGACGACGAAGCGGGCCAACATCTCGTCCTGGAACGTTACGGAAATGAAAAATTCAACGAGAAGGTTCTAGTTTCTTTGAAACGACGGGAAGTAAAGAATCAAAGTTCTAATTCACCAGAACCGCACAAGCGTTCTGCGCGGTGCGTTCAAGTACCTGCACGGGGTCGACGGTGTCTCGGA